GTCACTTGAGATGTGTTCCCTAGCGGACATTTTTCTTTTGATCTTTTCTTTTGCCTAGGTTACCCATTTTTACTTGTGGATTGCCTAGCAGATCTTGCCCTAACTTTTGCGCAGCCCCCTTAGTGGGTTTCCTGTCGGGCCTTCATTTTTTTTTGCAGCATTCATGAGGTATGGGATGTCTTTATTTTATCAAACCCTAGTCATGTTTGAATTCCTGATTGTTCCTTTGTTATCCTTTCCATGCTATTATTGAGTAACATCTTTGTTACAAATACATTTTGTTTGTTAAGGGTTGATGGATGAGGCTTAGAGTGGATATTTAGAGGGAGAAGAGAAACGAAAGAGTATTATGGCATTTAAAACAATACTTTCAATTTACATGTGCCCCTTTAACAAAGCTCGAAGGCCCGGGCATGCCCCGAGTTCGTGACTCATACACAGAGAGATAGACGAAGGTTGCCCCCTAGAAAGTCATGGATGATTTGATAATTTCAAAAAACTGTTTCACTTGCTTGGACGTTGGTGTTTCGAACTAGGAGTAGAATCTTTATGAATTCTTTCTTTCGAAAGGAATACTCAAACCACCTTTCGATTTCAACTCAGATAGACATTTTTATATATCCCTAACTTTTGCATAGGACGTATCCTATCGGGATTTTGATTCTTTTTTCTTTACCCTAATGTTTGCCTAGGACGCCCTTTACGGGTTTTCATCCTAGCGGGTTTTTGTCGCGCAAAGTCTTTATTCCTCAATTGGATTTTGTCTTGTAATTCCTTAGGAGCAAGGATTCATCCATTCTTGATCATTCCTCCTATCCCGACAATTGTCATTTCGTCATGGGAAACTCTCGCTATTTGAATCGTCGATTTGGGCGTGTAATGCCCCCAATTACTGATAAGTGTTTCCCGATTTGATGTGTCAGGTTCGCATTTGATTACAGTAATTTCCATTATCTGGCTTAACACGCACAAATTAGATTTCCCTTTTTATTCTTATTTATTATTTACAAGGAAGGCGTGTTATCTATATGAAACGTGAAATAGGATGCAAAGACATATGAGAAATTCAACGGATATCATTCTCATTGATTTTTGTTTAGAGAACATTCTTTGCATACTATTATATGTGCCTTCCATTTCTAATGAATGTATGCTAATGTATTATCCTAGGAGATGCATGATATTTATTTTCTGCCTAAACTTTATCATGTTTTTGGCTAAAGGTTATGATGCATGATTTTTTTGCTATATATTTATTTGTTTTTGTTGTTGTTTTTTTTTTAAATAAACTATCCTATATGATGCTTTAAGGTTCAGGTATATAGAAGGGAGTTAAAATTTTTATCATATTTTTTATTAATATCTATTCGTTTGTAATTCTTATCCATTTGAAATAAATAAACACAAACAAATGCAACACACATATGCTCAAACAAATGCGCACCCGCGAACATTCACATTTAGATCCTTGGTCTGTGGTCCTTGCAAGAAAAGTGCATTGTATATTCATCCAACGATGCTATCCTCAAGGCGACCTCGTTGAACCTTTGCAGAAATTCCTTCAGCGACTCCTCGCGTTGCTGTTTGAGGTCGAACAAGTCCGACGTGATCGGCGGTTTCTTCTTGTTAGCGGCAAACAGTGCCATGAAAAGCCGGCTAAAGACATCGAAGTCGGTGATTGATCGGTCAGGGAGACCACTAAACCAATCAAGTGCTGCCTTCTTGAGCGTGCCCATGAACAATTTGTAACGGACTTCCATACTCCCTCCACAAATCAACATTTGAGCTCAGATATCCGTCAAGTGCTGACTGGGATCCTGCGTTCTATCAAAAGGTTCCACCTGGGGGACCCGATGGTCTCTCGGGATGATCTCGACCTCTATAGCCTCCGAGAATGGTCGGAAATCCCTAGGAACTTCCATCATGACATCTTCCTCCGCCGTTCGGGTGTTGGCCGTTATCATGGCCTGCATCTCATCCGCCCGCCTCTTGATCTCCTCGTTTTCTCGTTGGATGGCCTCCTCTCTTTCCCAGGATCACGCATTCTCCT